GGGGGGGGACATAGGAAGGAAGTGCCTGGGGGGAATAGAGGGGCAAGGTGTCGCTGCAGTGGCGGACGGGTGACCAGGGAGGCAGGAGACTGGGGAGGGGCCTAGGAGGTGGCGGGGTGCTAGAGGCCCAGACCTGCCGCCTGTATGGGGAGGGTGTCCGAGGGCCGAGAACCGGTGCCTGTCGCAGGGGTGTGATGGGGGAGGCTGTGGCCCACCCACCACTGTCTGGTGGTGGCCCTGCCTGGGAGCCAATCGAGGCGGCGCCTCCCCCGCAGTGCGCCTTCCTATTGTTCTGCATGACGCCCGGGCCCTGGAACGGGGCCCACATCTTGTACCATCGCGTGGTCCGTCCACTGTTTCTAAAGCACCGCGACACCGTGGACAACGTCGTCAGCGACCTCAGCGGGCGAGCCCTGGACGCGGCAGCCGCTCTCACCAGGGATGGTGCGTTACCGCCTGCCCTTCGGTCCGCTGTCCGCCCCTGCTTCTCATCTTTCCTCTGGGTCTCAGGCCTCACTGCTTGGCTGTGTCTGCCTGTCCTGTCTGTCTGATCCTGTTCTGTCTGTCCGTTCCCCCCTTCCCACTCTTCCTGGCCCGCGCCTGGCGTCTCAACCTATGCTTGCTGGCCCTCACTGTCCGCTCTCTCCCGCACGCTCTCGGGGACCAGTCCTGAGGATTCTGGCCCGGAGCCGGGCCCTCGTCACCCCGGCTGCGGCGGCGGGTCCCCGGCTGCCCTCGGAGCCAACCGTAGGTAATTTCTGGGAGAGGTGGGTCTGTGAGTATGAGAGTGTGTGTGCTTGTGTGTGTGTATGAGTGTATGAATGCATGAGTGTGAGTGTGTCAAAGTGGGTTGAGTGACTGGGAGTGTATATGGGGGTGAGTGTGTGAAAGCGATTGTGAATGTGTACAGGTGTTGCTTGTGTGTCCATGTGAATGTAAGTGTGAGAATGAGTGTGCATATATGCACGTGTCAGGGTGCGTGTGTGTATGTGGCTGTGAGAGGTGCTGAGGGTGCATGAGTGGGGCTGTGAGTGCATAAATGTGAATGTGATGTGAGTGCATATGTGGGTGTATGGACGTGTGTGCATGTGTGTGTTGGGTGAGTGTATATATGAGCATGCATATAGGGAGGGTGTGTGCACTGTGAGGGAACGTGACTGCATATGAATCATGAACATGTGTAGATGAATGAGTGCAGGAGCGCACGTGTGAGGGAGTGCGGGTGTGAGAGTGCATGTGCATTTGAATGTGTATGAGGGTGTGTATCTAGGAGTGAGTGGGTGTGCATTTGTGACTGGATGGATGGCAGAGATTGAGGCTGGTGCAGGAGTGGGCGGGGTTCCATTGTGTATGTGGGGTCACTGAGTCAGAGCCAACTCTACAGCACCTAACAGCAACAACATGTATGAACGTGTGTAGAGGAGTGAGTGAGTGTGCATTTGTGAGTGTAGATGTAGGAATGTGTGAGCATGTGTTTATGTGTATAAGTGTGTATATGAGTGAGCATGCATTTATGGGTGTGGATGTAAGAGAGTGTGTGGGTGAGGGAATGTGTGCACATAGGAGTATATGTATGTGCATGTGAGTGTGTGTATAGGAGTGTGTAAGAATGCACTGGAGTATGGATGAATGGATGTGTGTGTGTGAGTGGGTGTGTATAGGAGTGAGTGCACGTGTGAGGGAGTGTGTGAGTATGCATTTATGAGTGCCTATGTTTGGGGAGCTCTGGTAGCATAGTGCCTAAGGCACTTGACTGCTAACCAGGAGGCTGGCGGTTCAAACCCACCAGCCACTCCTCGGAAGGAAGGTTGGGCAATCCTACTTCCGTAGTGATAACTGCCTCGGAAACCCAAGGAGGGGTCGCTAGGAGTCGGGGCCGACTCGATGGCAAATAACAACAACAACAATGTTTGGGGAATTCTGGTGGCATAGTGCCTAAGGCATTTGACTCCTAACCAGAAGCCTGGCGGTTCAGACCCACCAGCCACTCCTCAGAAGGACGATTAGGCAATCTACTGACCTAGTGATACCGCCTTGGAAACCCACGGAGGGGTCGCTATGAGTCGACAGCAGTGAGTTTGGTTTGTTTGTTTTTGGTTATGTATATGAGTGACCATGAGTGTCAGAGAAAGCGTGCGCGTCTGTATGCGTGTGCGCGTCTGTATGTGTGTGTGCGCGGCCACTTGCAACGCTTTGTGCTAGCAGCCAGCAGCCAGCAGCCAGGACCCGGTTCTCGGCCCTGGGCTGCAGGGCCAGGCCTCACCGCCCTTCCCTGCAGGCCCAGCAAGCGTGACGCCGCTGCAGAAGGACAAGTGAAAACGGACCTTCAGCCCGCGGAACCGGGCGCAACCGACCGCCAGCCCTCCTCAGATTCCTCCGCGGGCTCCCCGACCGAGGCCCCCGCCGGCCCTGCTGGCCCTGGCAAGACCCCTGGGGGCTCCCCCCATGCCACCTCAGGCCACGCCCAGTCCGGTGCTGCCGCCACCGCCGTCACCAGCTCCGGGGGCCGTGCCCAACCTGCCACGGGCTCCGCCAGCGGCTCCCAGCTGACCGGCAAGACCCGGGGGCGTATGCAGTCCCGGGGCAACTCCACCAACCCGCTCCAGCAGGGCCTCAACCAGCAGCCCCAGCGACAGTCGCTGGGGTCCATACTGCCCTCTCAGACAACCCGCAAGCCCTCAGCCCCCGCGCAGCACCCGAGCGGCACCACCAGCCAGACGGTGCCCCTCGTCCAGACGCCCAGCGGCACCAACATCCCGGTGCAGTCCCCTAGCAAGACCGCCAGCAAGACCATCAGCGAGCCGGGGGACACTGCCACCAAGTCCAAGAGACATCACCGGAAGCGGTTCGCGGCGCGACGCACCAGCAACACCTCAGTGGCTGACTCCTGCCCCTCCGACACGTCTCTGGAGACCACCTCCGAGTGCATCTCGGAGTTCACCTTCACCTGGCCCTACTTCAAAGGACGCCGCCTCCGTTGCCTGCGTCACTGCTGGCAGCTGGAGCGCCTGCCCTGCTGACGAGGGGGCGGGGCTCGGTAAAGCTCCTCTGATCTACCTGGTCTGCGCGAGTCCTTGTCCTCCGGTGCCAGGGGGAAGGGCTTCCGGGCTCACTTAATCCCGAGCGAGTACTTTGCACAACCGGCCCATTTTCCGGAGGAGAAAACCGAGGCCTAAACCTAACCCAAAAAACCAAAGCCACTGCCCTCGAGTTGATTCCGTCTCAGAGCTCCCTACTGAGGCCTGGAGAGGGCAGTTCACCACGTGGCCAGGTGCGCGGAGCCCTGCGCTCAGCTCCTCCCCCTCCCCCCACCTCCTCCCTCTCATACACTCTTCCAAAGCCGAAAAGGTGTCATCAAGTCGGACCTGACTCGGGGTGACCCCACGTGTGTCGAGGAACAACTGTGCCCCACAAGGTTTTCAAGGCTCTGACCTTTTGCAAACGGATCGCCAGGCCTGTCTTTTTGAGGCCTGTCTTTT